CTATGTCTTCCCGGTCTAAATAGAGTGGCCTTATGTAGTAGGTATGTTGTGGGGTTCAGTGGCGCAGTCTTTCTGGTCACCTGAGCCATGTGCTCCAGGTGTGTCCTTTGTGGTTGAGCCTTGGTTGATAATTGCACATCAACGGGAGGGACTGACCCTGTGGAGCAGAATCTGCCTCAGCAGGACTCTGGTCCCTGCCCAATCCGCCACACTGGGAGGTGGCTGGGTGGTGCTCCAGCTCGTTTTGAAGCTGGCCACTGGGGGCGCCAGACCCAGGACCACCTTGGAGGGGATCTGCTGTAGGTTAAGTTCAGCCACAGCCCGTGTCCCACCTGGGGCCACCTAACAGGAGCCACAAAGAAATCTGTAGATGGCTGCCGCCCATGCTGTGCTTGGAAGCGTGTTGAGAGGCCAAGCCGGGAGCCAAGGCCGGCTGCCGTTAGTGCCGGCTTAGGGCTGCTCAGCCAGAGGTACAGGACACGCTCAAGCCAGATGCTGTTTGGGTTTCACGAACCTTTTGAGAGACCTTGGAAAGTCTGCAGCTTGAGCCATTGCAGGCGGTCTGCATGAAAAAGCCACTGAAAGCAGCCTGGGTGTACCTGAAAGTTGCATGGGGCCGGTTCTTGAATCACCAGGGCATGGTGAACAAACTGCAGAGACTCAGATATGGCAGCTGCCTGTGTTCTCACGCTGGGAAGGGGGAGGGCTCAACAAAGAAACAATGGCCTTCACCAGCTCCTCCATCTAGGAGAAAACTTCCTCTCCAACCCCCGTCCCAAGCCAGACAACTCAGTTCTCCACCATATATCCCTGCTGCCTCTCCAGCGGCTGCCCCAGCGCTGGAGCTCAGAGCGAGTGATTCCATTGGTGGGTAAGTCCGTGCGCGGTCCCTTTAAGTGGAGCACCTGAGAGTGCAACCGCCCTCAGTCTCACTCAGTCACAATCTCCGCTGGTTTTCACAACTAGAAATTATGGGGACTCCTCTCCCCGGCGCTGAAACCCTGGGCTGGGGTGGGGCTTGGACCTCTCACTCCTCTGGGCGATGGGGGGACCCCCACAGCCGAAATAGCCTTCCCGATCTTTAATGGTCACACGCAGGTGTAGGACCAGCACGTTCAGCATCTCTGACCTTCCTACCAGTCTGGAGATGGCTGCTTCTGCGCGTCCTTGCTTGAAAGGCTTCAGTTCAGCGCGATTTTAGGTGATTCTCAGTAATGGTGGTTTTGTAGATTAGTTGTAATTTTGATGTGGTTGTGAGAGAAGGTAAACACATCCTTCACCTACTGCACCATCGTGGTCTTTTCCTCTATTACATATGGCTTTTTATATATATATGGCTTTAATTTGCGTGTTGTTGTTTTTTAAGGATTTTTTTTTTGGGGTAATTGGGGGAGGGAACAGTGTTGGGGAACCGGGGAAGGGGAACCAACAAGTTGCTGTCCTTTTGTTCTTCAGTCTAGTTGTGGAGGACGTCGCTTCACTGGCCCATGTTGGTATTGTGATCATTGCGCTCTTCCTGGGTGAGGCAGATGTGTCACCGGCCATTGGATGGCTGCCCACACTGGCTGCCGGCTGCCCACACTGGCTGCCGGCCACTCATGGTAGCTTACGGCACCCCACTGCAGCCTACGCTGTTGCCGGCAACTCACGGCAGCCCAGCTCCAGGTCGAGCTGTTGTTCACCGTCTTGCTGTAGAGGGCGCAGCATCACTGGCCCTCATGTGGGATCCGAACGGCGGCCCTGCTGCTCAGAACTCATGCTCCCAAGCCATCTCTTAACCCATGAGCCACTCAGCTGGCCCAAATTTGCGTTTTCTTAATCACCTGTTGAGCATTTTTATATGTTTTAATTTTCCACCTGTATCTCTTTGGTGAAGTGGCTGCTCAAATCTTTTGCCTAATTTTAATTGGATTGTTTGTCTTATTATTATTGAGTTGTGAGAGATCTTTATATATTCTGAATATAAACCTCTTATCAGATATGTTTCTCAAATATTTTCTTCCAATGTGTGTGGCTTGCCTTTTCATTATATGATATAACACTTTTTTCAAGAGCAGAAGTTTTAAATTTTGATCAAGTCTAATTTATCAATTTAAATGATTTGGGCCTTTTGTGTTCAATGTAAGAAATCTTTGCTACTTATCGTTATAAAAATTTTGCCTTGTGTTGCTTTCTGTGGTTTGAGTTTATACATTTGATCTGTGATCCATTTTAAGTGAAGTTTTAAAAAAATTTTTAAAAACTTTATTGGGGAACAGTGTGTTTTGGGGGGGAACAATGTGCTTTTTCCAGGCTCCATCAGCTCCAAGTCAAGTTGTTGTCCTTCAGTCTTAGTTGTGGAGGGCACAGCTCAGCTGCAAGTCCAGTCGCCGTTTTTAATCTAGTTGGGTGGGGGGGGGCATAGCCCAACATCCCATGCAGGAGTCGAACCAGCAACCTTGTTGTTAAGAGCATGCACTCTAACCAACTGAGCCATCCAGCCCCCCCTTGAGTGAAGTTTTGTATCACTTGTGAAGTATAATAAGAATTGAGGTTCACCTTTTTGTATGTAGATATCTAATTGTTCCAGAACTATTTGTTGAAAACACAATTTTTCCTCATTGAATTACCTTGGCATCTTAGTCAGAAATTGGTTGATGCTGTGTGTGGGGGTCTGCTTCTGGACTCTGTTCCACTTTACATACACATCCATCTTGTTTTCCCAGCACCATGCCACCTCAATTACAGAAGCTTTGTATAGTAAGTCATGAAATTAGGTAGTAGAGGTCCTCTGGCTTTATTTTTTCAAAAGTGTTTTGGGTATTCTAATAGGTCCTTTGCGTTCCCATGTCAAGTTTAGAATCGTCTTGCCAGTTTCTACAGAAAGGCCTGCTGCGATTTTAGTCTGCATCGTGTTGAGTTACAGACCAGTTTGGGGAGAATTGACATCTTAATATTGAGTCTCCCAGTCCATGAACATTTATTTAGGTCTTTTAAATTTATTCTCAGAATAATACTGTAGTGTTTACAGGCTTTATACAAAGTGTATTGAAAAATTTCCAAAGTATTTCATCTTTTTCTTGCTATCTTATAATGGTACTTTAAAAATTGTCAATATCCAAATGTTAATTGCTAGTATATTGAAATACAGTTTTGTTTTGTATAATTGACCTTGTATCCTGTGAAAACTCATTTATTAATTCTAGTGGTCTTTTGGTAGATTCCTTCAGATTTTCCACATAGATGATCACGTCATCTACAAGTAATGTATTTATTCCTTTCCAATCTGTATGTCTTTTATTTTTTTCTTGCCTTATTCCATTGACTAGGATCTCCAGTATAATGTTGAATAGGAGTGGCATGAGTAGACATCCTTCCCTGTTTCCAGTCTTGGGGGGAAAGCAGTTAGTCTTTTACTGTTAAGTATGTGTTAGCTGTAGGATTTTGTAGATCAGGTTGAAGAAGTTTACTTCTGTTTTTAGTTTGCTGATATTTATCATGAATGGATATTTAGTTTCGTCAAACTTTTTTTTTACATCTATTGAGATAGTCATAGAGGTTTTGTTGTTGTTTTTTAGTTAACAAAATTAATTATGGTGGGCCAGCTGAGTGGCTCAGTTGGTTAAGAGCTCACACAAGAGTGCGAGCTCTGAGCAACAGGGTCGTTGGTTCAATTCCCGGCCCAAGCTGAGCTGCTGCTGAGCTGTCAACAGGTGGCAGGATGGCTCAGCTAAAAAAGAAATATATACAGGGATTAAAAAAAATTTTTTTTAACGTTGAAAGAACCTTTTATTCCTGGGATAATCCACACTTGGTCATGATATATGTATTATCCTTTTTATAGTTTGCTGTATTGGATTTGCTAATATTTTATTAGGATTAGTGCATCTGTGTCCATGGAGGATATTAGTCTAGAGCAGGGGTCAGCAAACTTTTGAGACGGAAGAGCCACCAGGGGTCAGCAAACTGTGGCTCGCAAACTGGCCCTGAAGTAAAATTTAAAATGAAAATAAAACTATCATGGTTTCATTTATAAAAATTTTAAAGGATATTATTCACGTGATGGTGATTATGTAAAAATGTATTTATGGCTCTTGAATAATTTTTAAATTGTCGTGAGGGACGGACAGGATTGGCTCTTGCAGGGGTCGGCAAACTTTTAAGGCGAATGTACCCAAAGAGCCGCACGTGGCTCGCGAGCTGCAGTTTGCCAACCCCTGTTCTAGCGGCTTCTTTCCTAACAATATCTTTGTGTGGCTTGGTGTCAGGATAATACTGCATAGAATGAATTAGGACATATTCTCTTTAATTTTCTGGAAAATTTTGTGTAGAATTGGTATTATTTCTGCCTTAAATGTCTGGTAGAATTCCCTAGAGAAGCTATCTTGACCCAGAGTTGCCTTATTAGGAAGATTTTGAGTTCAATTTAATTTTTACCTGTTCAATGAGTTGATTTTATTTGATAAAAGTTACCTATTTCTTTATGAGTGAGCTTTGTTAATTTTTGTCTTTTAAAGATGTTTACATAATTATTTCACAATATATGTAAGTCAAGTCATTATGCTGTACACCTTAAACTTATACAGTGATGCATGTCAATTTCATGTTTAAAAATTTGGGGGGAAAAGGAAATTTGTCATTTCATGTCAAGTGGATGGGCATGAAGTTGTTCAGAATATTCCTATATTTCTTTTCAGTTTCCATAAGATCTGTAATGATTGAGCCCCTCAATCCTGATTTTCCTTCCTGATATAGCGGTTGTTTGAATTAGGTCTCTTTTTCCTTATAGCCTGGCTAGAGGTATACCATGCTTATTGATCTTTCAAAAAAACACATTTTGGTTGAATTGACTTTTTCATTTTCTATTTGATTTATTTTTGCTCTGAAGTTTCTTATTTCTTCTGCCTTTCTGTTTTACATTTAATTTGTTATTCATTTAAGGATTTACTGTACAGTCATCATGTGCCCTATTTTAAAAGGCCTAACTTCATTCCTTGTCACCCAGAAATGTTGCTTTCTAGGTTCGGGTTGCTGTCGCGTCTGCCCTGTGTTCCTGTGTGCCGGGCGGTATCACTGGTACTAGTGCTGAGCAGGTCAGAAAGGGTCCTGCTCTCGTGGGACTGGTCGTCCAGTGATGAAGACGGGATAAAGACGAGAAAGCAAGGAGAGCACCGGGATTTCAGATAGCAGTTGAGAGAGTAAGAGACTAACTGGGGTGGTCAAGGTCAGGACATGAACAGGGACACTTGAACATAAGAATAATGAACTAGTAACAGAGGTCAGCTTCCCAGACTTGTGGAAGGAACTCTAAGGAATCCAGTCCTGGCGGGTCCAGGAAGCAGCCCGACTGTAAAGCCTGGGCAGAGGACCCGAGGAGGACATACTTGCAAGAGGCCCTCCTTGGAGAGGGTGCGGTTAGGACTCTGGGACAGCAGAGAGGTTGCTGAGAGGAGCTGGGGACAGAGGGAGAGCCCTGCGTCCGCGGTGTTCCTCCAGCGCCCTCTGCTGCCCCTCCATCAGAGCGGCGGAGAAGGGGGGATTTGGCACGGAAGAGGCAGAAAGCTGTCACAGGCTCAGCCGCCTCCCCAGTAGGTAAGGTTTTGCTGAGGCGTGACAGGGAGAGAGTTCTGCCGGTGCTGTCGGGAGCCATCCAGACGGTGGATTAGCGTCTGGGCAGGAAGTGGTCTTAGAAAGTTCAGGTTGTTTCTAAGTGGGGGAGGTTTCTGCAGGCTGCGCGCTCCTGCATTGGAAGTGCCCTTCTGGCTGCTGCTTGAACAAAGCAGCACAGTAGGTGGGCAGGATGCCAGCCAAGAGGTACCCGTGGTCAGTGTGGGCTGGCAGCGGTGGACAGAGAAACACATGTGATTTGTGGGTCTGCGTAGGACAGGAGAGCACACCTTCACCCAGGCGACCCAACCCAGTGCTGCTAGGGCGCTACCTGGTCCTCCCACCACTGCCTGCAAAGCTGCCCCACGATCACATGCCAGGCAGACCCCATCACCGTTCATGTCACTCGTGGTGTTAGGGTTGTCTCATCTCCAGGAATTCTGGTCCAATCTGCAGAAACCCCGAACGTCTCATCTAGTTTGCTGCTCCCTCCCAGCTTTTGGGAGTGATGTCAGGAATTCCCAAGGGAAGGCTGTGGAATGGAGGGCACTGGGTGGGGCTTGTCCTGTTTCCTTGTACCTTCCTGGGTACAGAGGAAGCACCAGGCAGGAGGACTTGGGGTGTCTGTTCTGTGACAGGCTTTCTGAGGGTCTCTTTGGTGACCAGGGCCCAAGGTCCAAACAGGTGGCCCGTAGTGGGTGGCTCTTGCTTCAGGCTTTCCTAGACCTCAGTCAGGACTTTTCACTGGGCTGTCTGCAGGGACTCTTTGTGACACCCTAAGCCCGCCCTGCCCCCGTCCTAACCCCCTTTTCTGGTTGGGCTCTGTCATGATGACTCAAGCCCCTGCCCTCAGAGAGCGCCGTGGGACTTGGCCTCCCACGTGTGGGGGGGCGCCCCCCCCCACTGCCCACAGGGGAGGATCTGGCTAGTCTCCCACCCTCAGGCTTTTCCTTTTCAGAGCCACATACGGTGCCCATGTGCCCAAACTCCAAGGGACCCATGACAGGCCCACTTTGTCCAGTGGCCAACTGGGGTGATGCTACAAGTGTCTGAGCAAACCTGAACAAGCACCCAGCCAAGGAGTGAGACCCAGGCCGCTCTGGGACAGGCAGACCCCACAGAGAGGTGACAAGAGAAGGGACGGTGCAGTTCTCTACACATGAGATTTCCCTCAGGTGTCTCCCATGACTGCCCTTTGCTTAGGCTGTCGGGGGCCCTGGCCGCCCTGTCAGTGAGCCCTGCGTGCAGGAGGCACCTAGCACCTTTCTTCATGGGGGGGGGGGAGCCTCCAGTTGTAAGATTGGAGGCATGTTCCCAGATAATAAGGTCCATCTCCGGCCCTGGCATGGAGGGACAAGGTGCTGGCTGGGCGGGTAGTGGGATGATCTGAGTCAGGAGAAGCTGAGGGAGGAAAGCAGTTTGTGGGTGGGGCCTGGGGTCGCCTTGGTGTTCTCTGTAGTGGCTGTTAGTAACGTCTTTTAGGTACTGTTGGTGCCAGAGCCTGCTCCATGCTTTCCAGAGCGCACTCGTTCCCAGTCAGAGCAGGCAGCACAAGCACAGCCTCTGGGGCTCTGCGGGCCGGGAGGCCTCTGCCCTGGCCACTTTATGCCGGGCTAGAGGTGGTCACTAGGCTTCCACTGAGCGCCATGTCAGATGACTGGCTGCGTCACTTCCTGGAGATGGCCACTGCAGTGTCACTACCTGTAGAATTGTCCATTTTAAAGAATGAAAGAAATTTTTCACTGCCCTCATGGGGTTATGATACAACTATCGAAGGTAAACAAATAATGGATTTCAAACAAAATTCTTGGGTGTCAAAGAGGAAAGTTTCCAGTGTAATGTCAGTTAAGATATTTTCAGTGTCTTGGTTTTACATGTTTTCTAAAAGGCATTTATCTGAAATTCGTGCATGAGCATTTGAACATAACTAGTCTGTGCTATTCTCTCTTTCAAGCAGGGCCAAGACTTTCTTCTCCACGCCCCTCTTGGCGGGTCCCAGGTGGAGGCCGGCGGCGGGAGGCTAGCTTTGGGCGCCCAGCCGCTGCCTTCGGACGCGGCGTGTGCCTGCGAGGCCTGCAGCGAGCGCAGGTACCAGTGGGCGCCGCGGGAGAGTGGGTTCTGGGCCAGCCCAACAGGTGCTGGAGCTGGAATAGGAAGTGGGCTTTTTCAGAAATGCCGCCCGCTCCCGAGAGGGGCCAGTGGCCTGGCGATGAGAGGGAGAACTGGATGAGTGAGGCTCGTCTGTCCTTCCTGCCCTGAGGACCAACGAGTTAGTGGTCGGGAGGAAGAGGGGCCAGAGCTTAGTCATCAGAACCCAAAGTCGGAGTAGACTGGGGGCTGGGGGGGCGGTGACTGCAGCTGCGAAGGACAAAGGGCAGAGGAGCCAGGCCCAGGGCCCAGTGATGGGGAGAGCTGCCTAATGAGTACCTGGATGGCCAAGGTCAGGGAGCCCGGCAGTCGGCCTGGCAGTTGGCATTCCCAAGCGCTGTCGTGAGAGGAGGGCCTGGCATCGCCCAGAGACAAAGGTCTCAGGACCGACGGCACCCGGGGGCTCTGCGGGCCTGCATGTGGACAGTGCTCTGGCAGCGACAGCAGAGCAGCTGGGAAGAGAGGCACTGTCTGCGGGGTAGGGTGGGGAGGGCGTGCTGCGCGGACTGCCCCTGACCTGCCCGCCCTCTCGTGCCGCCTCACAGGGAGACCTCGGCAGATGCGGAGCGGGAGCCACAGCAGCTGCAGAACTGCTGGTCCGAGGTGCGCTACATGGTCCGCTGTATTTACCGCCAGGCGGGGACCCCACTGGCCGACGACCAGGACCAGTCCCTGGTGCCTGACAAGGACGGGGTGCAGGAGCTCGTGGATAGGTACACCTTGTCCCTGTGTCATGCCCCTCCCTTGCCTCTGCTGGGTGGGCCCCCTTTTCAGGGTCGGGGGAAGCAGGCCTGCTCGTTCTGCATCGGGCACCGTGGGTCTTCAGGCCTCCTGGCTGGAGCAGGCCCTCTGGGTAAGGTTCCAAACTCGCTCTGATGAAATGCTCGGTGCCGGGTAACAGAAATGAAGCAACACAGAAAAAGGACACGGCACATTTCTTAGTGTTGACACTGACAGTAACGTAGTCTTCTGAGTGCTGACTGTGTCGGGTGACACTGAGCACCTTCTCAAGATAGCAAGGAGAGGCAGTTGTCTCTCTGGGAGGTGACAAAACTGAGGCTGCGTGTGGCCGGCGGCTTGAGACCGCACACACAGCGGGAGTGGAGGCTGCTGTGGCAGGCCTGCCCACGCGGATGTCCCCATACAGGCTGGCTCACGGTGTGGTCCGCTCTTCAGTGACACCTTATGCTCGTGACCATACAGAATTTGAGGTGGATGTGATTTTTATTCTTCCTTAATTTGTAGCACCTCTTCTCCCCTTTTTGAAATGTTGCAATAAAAGCAGTAAAATTGAGCTAGACATTTCTGGATTGTTTCTCACGTGAGTCTCTCTCTCATATTTTGGATGCGCACCCTGGGGGGCCTCATAAACTCCTGTGATGTGCACTAGAGTTGATCCTGGGATGGGAGAGGTGGGCCATGGGTTACAGTAACTCGCTGATGAATTTGGTCAGTGTGTTCAGGGTTGGATGTCTGAGCCTCTGATGTTCTATGAGATGGTTCCAGGTGGTATGTGCCTTTTTTAGAAGTTAGGTTTCCTGGTGAGTATGAAGAAAAAAATATATAACCTGCACATCAAATCCGTGGCTTCACAGCTTACGAGTGTTTAGGAAGAGGCTCAAGTAACAGACAATGGAAAGAAAACCATCAGCAAATAACCGTGCAGATGAGGGATGTTATGGCAGAGGCTGTGAGGTTTGCCCTTACTCCAACAATGCAGTACACTGAAGAATGGAAAAAGTCCATGCCCCCATTACAGGGGTGCGTGTGGTGTATGTGGTATGTTTTTCCTAGTCTTGGTGTCCAAGAATACTCCTTTGTTGTTTAAATGCCCATGCATGTCAGCAGAGGGCTGGCTGGAAAGGCCCTTGCCAGGCGCGCTTGCACAGCTGGTGCCGATGACCGTTTCCTCCTTTCTGTGGCTCCTGGCACGCTATGTGACCTGGCTCTGCCCCCTCCTCCTGCCTCATCTCCCTCTTTTCATGCCCTTCATTTCTGCCCCAAGGACTTTCCATTTGCTCTTCTCTCTGTCTCGAATATTCTTCCTTTTTCAGGAGGTGACATTAGTCTTCAGTCACCTCCTCAGAGAGGCCACCATAGCTAAAATCCAAGGGGCCTCCCCCATCACTCCTTATCCCCTTACTTTCTTTTTGATACTGTTACAGCCACCACCTAGAGTTACATTATGTGTGCCTTGCTGTGCGCGCCATGAGGGCGGAGCAGCTTTGGCATCAGACACGGCCTGCAGCACGCGTGCCCATGTGTGTGCGATGTACGCGTGAGCCTCCCCAGTATCTTCAGCACATTCCTGACTCTTGGTCGTAGAACTTTAACAAAATCTGTTTGCAAACGTACCACACGGTCATTTCATTAAATTTGTAAGATACAGAAATGGACAACGAAATAAACTAAAATGTGTCTAATGTCACCATGCTAAGAGAACTAAGAAGGAGGCGTTCAGTCCACTTGTAAGTTTGATTGTCCCTGTATCATTTGAGTCTTGTGTGGCTTTCCTTTAACAGATGAAATACATTCTGTTTCAGAGGACATTATACTAGATTGTTAAGCTGAAAATTTAATTTATTATCATTCTGAAATGTACTAACCACAGTGGGAATCCCATCAATTTTTACCGTTTGACCAGCCATGTTTTATATAAGGTGTCCCATGTTCCACTGCTGCATTTTACTTGGCTCGTGTCTTCTGCAACAGAGGTGATGTGGTAATTTTAAAATGGGATAGGTGACAACTTGCATTCTTCTCTTTTGACCAGATGTGGTGCCAGCGGGTGAAAGGATCCATTATATGAAACGCAGCAACTGGAGCATAATGCATTTTACAACTCGTGTCTTAACAGCAGGTCCACCTGTGATGGGCTACAGGCAGACATTATTGGAGTTGTTGCTTTGGTGGCTTTAGGCTCCCATCTAGGGGCTCCTAGAAGTGCGCACTTAAAGGAAAGCCAAATCCTGCAGAACGAGTTTGGAAAGTAGATTATCTCCAAGTTAGTAAAGGAATTCATGAAAAGGTTACCACGGCATTGTGGAGGAGGGCACACATTCATGTTTTTCTTGCTCTTTGCCTTACAAATTTTATATACTTTTAGCATTTTTAAAAAGATATACTGTCTCTAAGTTTCCTCTGATTATAGAAATAATAAAGCCCATTTGGATTAAATACTGAATTCCTAGAAAGAAGGAAGGAACAGTCTGCTGCAATTCTCCACATAGGAATCACTCTGTTGGAATAGTTTTCTTCACCTGTTAACATGTCAGCATTAAAAAATTATTGTCTTTAGCCTTCTGTGTTTTCAGTAGTCCAGTGGTTGAGAAGACACAGCTCCAGCCAGCTGCTGGTGTGTCCACTCTGCCACCTGCTGGCTGTGAGAGTTCCAGCAACTCACCCAGCCTGTGTGGCCTTCAGATTTAACACGTGTGACAGACAGCACCCACCATAGGGTGACTAAGTTAACACGTGTGACAGCGCCCATCGTGGGGTGACTGAGTTAACACGTGTGACAGCGCCCATCGTGGGGTGACTGAGTTAACACGTGTGACAGCGCCCATCGTGGGGTGACGAGGTTAACACGTGTGACAGCACTCATCGGGGGGGTGACTGAGTTAACACGTGTGACAGCGCCCATCATGGGGTGACTGAGTTAACGCATGTGAGAGACAGCGCCCATCATGGGGTGACTGAGTTAACACGTGTGACAGCGCCCATCATGGGGTGACGAGGTTAACACATGTGAGAGACAGCACTCATCGTGGGGTGACTGAGTTAACGCGTGTGAGAGACATCTCTGGCGCAGATTAAACTCAATGAATGTCGGTGATTCTGCCTGTTAGTGATGACTTGGGGAGGTGCCTGCCACTCTGGCCCAGGTCCCCATCTGTTGAGTGGGGTGACTGCACCTCTCGTGGTATGAGAAGGTGCTGGTGGTCGTGCAGGGGAGGCTCCTGGGAAAGGCTTCAGGGAAGGTGCTCTTGGATATAAAGGAGCCCATGAAGGGTACCTTGGGCTCGCGAGTGACGGTGACTCTCTCTCCTTGCAGGCTCTGCGAGAGGGACCCCTACCAGCTGTACCAGCGGCTAGAGCAGCAGGCCCGGGAGTACGTGCTGGAGATGAAGGTGCGCCTGCTCCGGCAGCTGTCAGCCGTGTCCAGGGTGAAGGCGCCAGCCGCCCTGCAGGGCCCCCCGCAGGCGCACCAGTTCGTGTCCCTGCTCCTCGAGGAGTACGGCGCCCTCTGCCAGGCGGCCCGCGCCATCAGCACCTTCCTGGGCACTCTGGTGAGACAGCGCCCACCCGTGTTTCGCTGGGAACGGAGGACTGTGTGGTGGGGTGACGCGCCCTCAGCCCCCTCCCCGTCAGCTCCAGGCGGCAGGACAGAGCCAACTCCCCTCTCTCTCTGCTGTTGGACAAAAGTGTTAGTGGGTTGACATACAGTGACACACCATGGAAACACTGTTTGGGGAGCTCGAGGCCTAGGGAGCGAGGCATGGGGAGGGGGTGAGGTGAGGACAGTGTGCGCGATGAAGGGACAAGAAAGACATGTGGTTTGTAGTGCCAGCTGTGGACGGGCTCATGTGGGGGGATAACACGGGGCCTGTCACAGCCCCCGGAGGCTTTCAGTCCTTGATCACTTAAGCCCAGCGGGTTATGGATGGGCTCACAGAGTGAAGTAAGGCGCTGTCCACACCCTGCAGGCATCTCACGGTCCTAGTAGAGGGGACAGAGTGTCCCCCTGGGTCTGGGCCCACCTCCAGAAGTAAATGAGCACAGGTGAGTGAGAGGACAGGGTCCGCAGGGATAGTCACTGGGAACTGGGTGAACTGGGGGTCCATCCGAGGCAGCCTCAGCACCTGCCAGTTGGAAGGCGACCACTGTCCCCTGAGACCAGCCTGTGGTGTCTTGACCGTCACAGAAGCACCCATTTATTAACGGTCTGTGGAGTTTTTCATCATCATTTAAATTGTATTAAGTTGTGCTTCACCAGGCTAGTGTTGGGTGCTTTCCCAGTGGTTCCTAAGATTTTAGGGGTAATCATCTTTATGTGATTCTAAAGTTGATTGACCTTCTCGCCAGAAAAATTTATATACACATGATTTTACAGAGTAATTTTGGAGGGCTCAGGGACTCCCTCCAGCACCACTGCAGTAGACGTTGCCATTCCTTAAGCGACTCTGTGAAGCCTTGAGGACAGCGTCCACTGTCAGGATAGCAGAGCGCAGTTACCTCTGCTTCAGGGCCTGCGTCTAAGAAAAGAGGACCCAGTCACCGAGCAGGCCGGCTCGCCTCTGGTGTCCCACTCTGCCATCTTGCATCTCTACAACACCCCCTCTACCCCCGCTTCCCCCTGAGCATCTGATCCAGTGCCGCCTCCTCTGTGACAGCGCTGTAGCCCTCCCCGAGTCTCGGAGGACAGGAGCCACGGTTGGGTACGTCTCCTGCCTGCCCGAACCTGGTGCTCACAGAGGATAGGACAGCCGCCTCCATGGAGGCCCTCGGGTAGTCGGAGCAGGGTGCTGTTTTATGACAAAAATTAATTTGACCCACACTTATTGGAGCAAATTCCTAGCAGTTTACATAGAAATGTGTTCTTGTGGTTTGAAAAGAACTCACGAGCTTTAAGCACAAAATCAGTGATTCATTTCATGTTCTTTACACATGGAGTTACTAACTTTGGTTTCCAGCGGTATAGCAGGTGAGGTACCCTGAACTCTTCCGCGTCCTACGGAAACAACTGAATTTCTGATAACAAACTAAAACAAGGTAAAGCCTTTGAAAGCACATTGCTGAGGTGGCATGAGAGGCAAGAGGCCTCAGGGCTGGGAAATTCATGTGCTTAAAACCCAACATTCACCCGCTTATTCCTTCTAACATCCTGGGAGGTGGGGTACAGCCTAAGTCTATCCCAGGGTGGGGCCTGCACTTCATCTGGGGACCACAAATGACCTTACCTCAGTATCAGGGTGAGGAGAGACTCCACACTGGAAGGACCACAAGGGTATAGGCCCATTGTGACCAGGGCTGGGTGGGGGGAGTACAGCCCCCCCGAGACTGTGCAGCAGGAAGCCTGCCTGCTGCCACGTAGTGTGTGGTCTGAACACATGCTCTTGGCATGGTGTGAAAAGCTCGAGCCTAGAAGTGACTTCGCAGTGGCCCCAGGTGACCAGGAAAGCCAGGTGGCATCAGATCACTCTGGAGGCTGACGTCACCTTATGCAGGCACAGCACGTTGTCACTCCAACAGCCCGATGGCGGTTTCTCATTACTGACTAACGCCCCCGTCCATATAAACATTTACCAGTTATCTCAAAAATCTCTTCTTGTGGTTGGGGTGTTCAAATCGGGATCCAAGGAGGTTCATAAATTTATGAGAGCATCCTTCCAGGCCCAATGCGTGCTCTCTGCCGTGGGAAGAATTCACAGAGCTAAGAGAAGACAAGGTCAGTGCCTCAGAGCAGCAGTCCTCATCAGCTGTGGACTTGGGGCTCTTGGAACTTCAAAACTGAGGACCCCAAAAGCTCTTATTTGTGTGGATTTGATCTGTCAGTATTTACTGTATTGAAATTAAAAGAGAAATTTAAAAATACCAAATTACTTTAAAAGTAATAAGCCTAAGGGCCGGCCGAGTGGCTCAGTTGGTTAAGAGCTCGCTCAAGAGTTTGAGCTCTGAGCAACAGCGGTTCAAGTCCCAGCCCGAGCTGAGCAGCCGCTGAGCTGCCAACAGGTAGCAGGATGGCTCAGCTAAGAAAAAAAAAAAATAATAATAAGCCTATTATATAATATAAATAGCAAATTTTAAATAAAAAATAGCTATTTTCCAAAACAAAATATACTTAGTAAGAAGGAGGGGGGTGTCGTTGACATTTTTGGAAATCTCGAGGACCTGGCTGAATAGAGGACACCTGACTTCTCATACCTGCTCTGACTCGGCCTGGTGTCCTGGATGTTGTGGCAGAAGCAGTGGAAGACAGTTGGGCCTCACACAGATGCATGTGTGGAAAAGGGAAGACTGTCTCACCAGCCTTTGGGTCGCTGTGGACACGCTTCTTTCAGAGTGCACCAGCACCCATGGAGTTGCAGAGTGCTTCCGAAACCAAACCACCGACCGACCCTACTCTGTACACCAGCACCCACAGGGTGTGGCTCGCACTTCGCATGGACCTGCTCATGCGTGGTTTTGTGACCACGCACGCTGGTCGTTTGGAGAACACTGGTTCACTGAGTGAACTGTGCAGGTCCTACAACACGGAACTCAGCATAAAAAATGGTTCTCGCCAGGAAGGCCTTCAGTGGTCACAGTGGCAGATGCAAGCTTTCCAAAGTTCTCTTTTTTGCTGGAAAGCTCAGATTTGATGATTGGCCACAAATGACCAGTTGTTACCCATGAAGCCGCAAGTTCACGTGCTGTGCAGATCCAGCCGTCTGATTCTCTGCTGATTCCATTGGCTTCTCCAGAGACAGCACCGGTCCTGACCCTGCAGGATCCGTGGGGCACACGCGCATAGAAAGGTGATTCCAGAGAGGCACTGAGGCTCGGCCATCCTCACAGGCTCGCCTCTTACAGCAGCTATGACAGCACCGTGCCGCACGCCCTGGGCAAGTTGCCCAGCCTCTGTGGGCTGTTTCTGGCCTGTGGGTGGGGCATGGCGGCAGCCCCAAGTTCAAGGTTATTGCTGGTGCAGAGAACAGCACTGGCCTGCAGGAAGCACCCCACTGTCAGCACGTGTGGTTACTACTGTTGGTTTCAGGTTGTGAAATGGATTTGGGGCCTGCTGTTTCTCTCTCGAGCCTCATCTGGCCTCATAACTTCAGATTTCATAAAATACGCTGAACGTCTCCAGAAATCAGTCTTCACCCTGTTACGTTTAGTGAACGTCAGTCCGGAAAGCTGCAGCTGTGGCCCCCGTGTTGTAACTCACTGCTCACAGGCTGGCAGACGGGTTATTGGCTCTGTCCCAAAGATTTACGGGGCCGGGGGTGGGGGGGCTGCTGTGTCCCCTCGCTGGCCAGTGCCTGATCTGCTGCTGCCTTAGCTCTTGCATGTTCTTCATCGGAGAGACAAATCGTACATCAGACCACCACCTGCTCCTGTGTCCCTGAGGACTGCTGGAGGGCAGGGGCCTCTGCGTTCAACTTCCTGTCCCTGTAGCTGGCACAGAGCCTGTGCAGAGCGGTCCCTGTGAAGCCCATTATACGTGTACGTTCCCCACTCGTCTGTGGTCATGTCACTACAAGCACCTTGTCGGTGACACCCTCTCATTGCAGGGGCTGAGTTTATCGGTCCCAGGCCTGGTCTCTGCCATGCTCAACTTTCCTGCATTGAGTAATGGCTCTGAGAGATGCTGGGTGTGAAATGAATGAGGCATTCGGCTGTGGGAGGCACTGGTGTTTGGGTGAAGGGTGCAGTGAGAGCGGGCGCTGTGATGTTGCCGGCGTCGAGGAGGATGTGAGGGAGCCTCTGTATGTCACAGGTCCTGGCTGAACCTCTCCTCCATGTTCAGTGTGTGAGGTGGGCTGTGACTAGCAGAGCTGGCCTATGCGCGTGGTACAGCAGTGTCACTGCTGTGCCCAACATTATCACATGTGCTCGGGCACGGGTTGGTTACTTGTTCTCACAGCCCCCTGTGCCAGCCAGGGGACAAGATGACGGAATCGTCACAGAATCTTCATGTCTAGGTCATTTACTAACATCTCCAGGTGTGATCATCTCCGATTGGCTAATTGTAAACAGGAACAGACCACTAAATGTAGTCACCGAGCCATCTGCAAACGACATCACGCAGGGATGGTTTTTATGCTGAGCAGTTTCCAGGGGCCAGTCATTAGGTAAGGAGCCCGCGGACAGGAACAGACGGTGATTCCAACACAAGTATGTGTGTGGAACTTGCAGGCGGAAGCGTGGGGTCACGCGTGCATGGTTGTAGGAAGATCTGCTAAAAAGGGAACGCTGCTTTCAGGGAAGGCCACACCGTCTGTCCTGGTCACCTGTGTTGAGGACAAGTGGACATTGCTCTTTGATGGCCAGCTCACTCCCAGATGTTTGAAAGTTGTCTAAAGTAACTGATGAGTCTGCCTGCATTTACCAGGGAAGCGAAAGGCCTGACTCCACCCACGAGTGTCGTTGGTGGAGAAGCTCCTCGCATCTGTCAGAATGGCAGATCCTCAGGAGAGGCAAGACAATGACGTCCTTGGGCATCGAAGGACTCACGTGCATTTAAATTGGTTGGCCTTTCGGTACATTTTGCAAGCACAGCTGTAAGAAATGACTACCAGATATGTGCTCTTGTTTCTCCTTCTCTGTCCTCCCTCACCTGTGTGGGAATTGTCACCCCTTTCTTTTGTGTGTGGTTTGGAAGGGAAGCTGGGCCCGTGTCTGTGTAGGCAGAGACCTCCGTTAGTGCCGGCTTTGGGACGGACAGGGACCACAGCTTGTCGTCGTAAGCAGAAGCCTCCCGGCCTGTGTAACAGGGCGGGAGAGAGGGAGAGGGAACCCTGGAGTCTCGGTCCTCCTCAGCCCAGTGCATTTTCTGTTTCTTTATCTTTTTAACTAGGAAAATGAGCACTTAAAGAAGTTCCAGGTGACCTGGGAGCTGCACAATAAGCACCTGTTTGAAAACCTGGTCTTTTCGGAGCCCCTTCTCCAGAGCAACCTGCCAGCTCTACTGTCGCAAATCAGGTATTAGGCCTTCATCTGCTGTGTCCCCGTGCTGTGACAGCAGGGCCTTTGTGAACCTGAACACCACTGCAGCGTGGATATTCTCGCTGGGAGAATCACCAGGCTTTGGGGAAAATACAGTTTGGGCAGAACACTCCAAACCCCAAGAGTAATATGATTAAACTTTAAAATAACAAACCCAACAGTAATGGTACTGAGATTTAACACCACAAATTCCTCATGAATAAGTAAAATTAAAACCTGTGGTAAACATAGCATTTTACCTTGCTAAGACTCATGTGTGGTTAGGTTGCTGCGGTGTAGTCCGTGCTGTGGCCCTTGGTGTACAGGGGAGATGGGGAAAGGGGGTGGGAGGAGGGAAATGGGGAGGGGAGGAGGGAGGGGAGATGGGGAGTGGGCAGGAGGTGGGAAGAGGGCTCCGGCATGGGTCTGAGGTGCTGGGGAGGCTCCTAGGCACTGAGGAGGGATTAGCCACCGTTTCGTGTCTCAAATGTTCCCACAGCGTGTTTGTCCACGGCTTGGGTTGTGTTACTGGTGTGGGTCATCCACAGCATGTCCCCTCATGTGCCAAGATGATGTGCCAAGCACAGCAGTGGGGCATTTCCCCTCGTGATGGGGGCAGTGACAAGACTCCGCTGGGAGGAGGCCCCTCGGATCCGCCGTCACTGCAGGGCCGAGCCAGGCCTCGTGGCTTTGTCCTTCCTGCTTACCACAGAGGGACAGCACGCATGGAGTCACTGTGCTTTAAATGTCCATATTGAAGTGTATTGGATCACGTTCACAAAGAAGGGAAATTGTTTCTAAGTAAATAAATTATTGTAGCTGACATATATACCAGTTGCTCTTTTTCCCCCTTGAAACCCATGTAGAGGAACCTTTGTTTTCTACATTCCTAAATCCTGTTAGAGTGGCCTTAACTGTTCCCACTTTGCGCCCTCACCGCTGGAGGAGTAGTCTTATGAGCAGTTACTAGAGCGGGTTGGGGATAGGAGCTCAGAACAGCGTTTTGCGGCCTGGCCTGCACTCCAGTGGGTCCCTGACCACCACCACCTCTTCTGTGCCCACTCTGACAGCATTGATGACGTTTCATGGTATATTCTTGGAGACTTGTCCTCACTGCGACCCTCTCGGAGTAGTCAGGACAGTGGTCAGAGCCATGAGTTTGAAATGCAGAACCTGGTTTTGTCCTCAGTTATGACGTTCAAACCCAGCAGAAGCACTTTTTACAGAGACGTGGGTCTTGGCAGGGAGGGGTTCTTACAGCAAGAATCCCGGGTATTTAGCCTCGTTTTTCTTCTTCTGGTGAGGCATTGAGTTTGATGGGCCTGTCCTCCAACTGTGTGTGGCTGACAGAAACCTGAAATATATTATATTACGCAACTCCACGCTTTCTCTCTGCCCTAGTTCTCGATTTCCCATTCACTCGCTGCAAATGATGGTCGGACTGCAAAGATGGACAGTGTGTTAGTACAAATGTTAGTTCTGGGTCTAGCTGCAATATCGCTTTCAGGAGCCGGAGAGGGATGGAAGCTGGTGAGGAGGGAAGCAGAGCCCCCAGGACGGCTGGGACACCAGAGGAAGGGGGCGGCTCTGTCAGCTCCCCGAAGATTCCCTGGTCCTACCGAGAGTCAGTCAGATTTGAGCTTCTAGTGTCGATGTCCACCTAACTCACAAAAGTTTTGCAACAAGTTACATACAAACACCACCCCCTGACATTGACAGCATCTGCCGCACATAAAATCGTAGTTGTATTTAACATTGACACTTGCTTTCTGGCCTGTATTTAGCTTTATTGTAAAGTAAAATACAGATACAGAAAACCACACAAAGCAAATGTATTGCTTAGTGAAAATGTATCGCTTAATGAGTTGTTAGCAGGCGGACATCCCTCCTTTAGGTACCGCCCAGCACACCCACATGGCCAGCTAGAAGTAAGTCCCCTGGGGGCCCCGTCGCTCTGCAGTCACACTCAGCCCTTTCTTTATTTTCTTGTCACTCAACTGTGCATTTCCATAGTCCTGCCTGGTTTTTAGTTATGAAAGTTATTTCTCTTTTTTGAACAGCTTTATTGGAATTAATTCACTACCGTACAGTCCACTCATTTAAAGTGTACAATTCAATGGCTATTGGTATATAGTACATTAATTTTCTAAAATTGTAGTAAAATAACTATAACATACAACTTACCATTTTAGACTTTTTTTTTTTAAAGATTTTTATTGGGGAATTGGGGGGATGGGAACAGCGCTGGGGAATTGGGGGAAGGGGAACAGACAAGTTGCTGTCGTTTTGTTCTTCAGTCTAGTTGTGGAGGACGTTGCTTCACTGGCCCAAGTTGGCACCATCATTGCTCTCTTCCCGGGTGAGGCAGATCAGTCGTCGGCTTTTGGACGGCCGCTCACGCTGGCTGCTGGCCGCTCACGCTGGCTGCTGGCTACACACAGTAGCCCATGGCCACCCACTGCAGCAGGGGCTGCAGCCTACGCCATCGCCGGCGACTCACAGCAGCCCAGCTCCAGGTTGAGCTGTTGTTCAGCATCTTAGCTGTGGAGGGCTGTGTCACTGGCCCTCACATGTGGGATCCGAACCGGGGCCCTCTGGCCTCCCAAGCCAGTTCTTAACCGTCACGCCACTCAGCCAGCCCCATTTTAGCCATTTTTAAGTGTAAAGTTCAGTAATATTTTTACATTTACAGTGTTGGACACCCATCACCAGTATCTATTTACAGAATTTTCTATCACCCCAGAGACTGTCACCATTAAACAGTGACCCTCATGTCCCCATCTTTCTTTCCATGTCTTTCGAGATTTGTTAATCTGCAAGCCCCCCAACCCCACCCCCTTTCCTTTTAAAATTTGTCTGTCAAAGAACTGGAGCCATTTGTCCTGTAGTTTGGGGTCTGGGTCTTGCAGCCTGCCACTCACGGAGCGCCCAGTCCTCCTTCTCTGCCACCTGGGAGTTGGTGGCAGGATCCAGAAGCTCCTGCAGATTCCGCGCTATCCCTGTGGCAAGGCCAGGAGCTTTGCTTTGTCTGCTTATCTGTTGTGAATGTTAGGAGCCATGACCCAAGTTCATCTTTATTTTTAATATACAATATTAATTGATAGGGAAAATTTAATTAGGCTCATAGATGAACTTAAACTGATTTTGTTATTATCCGAATCACTTATTGTCTCACACACATTATTTGTAATAGATATTAGCATGAGTATCTTTCCATGGTGCTGTTGTGGTTTTGCCAAGTTAATGTTCAGGTGGTAACCTGTTTTCTGAGCCATTGTCATTTGACCCGAAGACATTCCCGGGGCCCCGTTTCCTCTGGAGTCAAGCCCGGCTTGGCCCGCATGTGAGCCCTGTGCCTACAGATTGTGCTCTGTCCTCACCAGGGATGGCTCAGGACCCCCCCGAGGCAAATCCTGTGCTGATTCAAAGCCAACTTATCTCCGTGTGCGACAGGAGAGCTCTCATTTCCGGTGGGAGTGGGACAACGAGTGCTGCTGGCTGAGCCGCTGCTCCCCAGCATCCCAGTTTGCCAGGCGGTGCAGAGGGGCAGGTAGCTTTACGTAGAAGGTGGCTTGTGTGAAGAGTGGACACGGGTTTGTGATGAGCAAGGTTGCCAGAGCAGGAGTGGGGAGAAAACGGCTACTTCTGGCAGCTCTGCCTTGAGACAGAAGACTTCTCAGGCCTTGGGGTCTCCCAGGCGCAGTACGGAGCCCAGATGAGCCTCAAAGAGCCTCTGGGTTCTGTTTCCTGAGGCAGAAACAGCCATAGCACGGCCTCGATATTTGAGAGAGCCTCAGTCACCGTACGGGCCTGTACCATTCTCTTTCCTTCCTCTGTGATCCCCTAAACAACTTCTCAGTCTGATTTCTGCCTGCCCCCTCTTTAAAGAGAATTTCACAGATGGACACATGGTAGGTAGCTTCTGAAACCACCAGTTCGTGTGTAAGCTCTCCGTGTTCACACAGTCATCACAAGTGTGACTCCTCCAGGGATGGACACAGGTTACAGGGAAGAAGGAGCCATTTGGATCCTCTGAAAGGTCCTAATTTTAAAATCACTTAAAATCGTTTTATTGTGTATTTTTGTTGTAAAGTTATTCAGTTATCATTGCAATAAAATTCTGAAAATCATGAAGAGGCATAGGTACCATAAGTAATTTGGTACTTTTAGGTTTTTGTCCTGTGTCCACCCCCACACACTTTCTTAACATGATGCCATAGTCATTACCTTTACTTACCAGGGGCATATCTCCATGTCAAAACGTGTGTAAGTGTGTGTGTATATGTGTGTATACGAATGAATAGAAGTGATTGTAAAGCATGTAATGAGCGTGTAATGAGTCATTGCGTAGAGTCCCTTTGTCTAGATGGGCCATCGTGTATGGCATTGATCCCCAGTGGGTGGCTTCCCGTTTCTTTATATAAACAACAGTGATTGTTACCTGTACACCGTCATTGTGCTCCTGGGCGATTATAAATGTTGTCTTTGATTTTGAAATTCCTTGTCAAAATGGCCTCATTACAGTTGTTTTGGTTCAAACGTTGATACATTTAGATATTAACAAAATGAATGGCTTGTGATGAGAACCCGCTGGCCTCCCTCGTCCCGCCCAGTCTCCCCCAGCTCTCCCCGGCCACCCTCTTCCCCACATCTTCTTTCTCAGAAATGTAGGCGTTTTTGTTTACCTGTATGTGTGCCTTTTGTTTTCTGTTTATTTGCCATCTTACCATCTTTGTTAACAAGACATAATATAGAATGAATGAGTATAATTCAGTTTCTTTGTTTGAATCGGATTTTCTGTTTCACTTAATTTGAAAGCCAGGCCCAAATTCTGTTTTTCCCCTTTAATGTTTTGTTTTCTCTAGGTGAGTATATTTCTCTAGGGAAGAGTAAGTAGTTCACCACCCACATTTAGCACACTGGATGGCTAGGCCCTAGTCTTTTTAAAACAGTGATATTCACTAATTTTTTTCTTAGGAGCTATTACTTCTTTGAGCTGTTCTGGGCGGCTCGCATGTCCTTAGTAATCCAGTGCTGTCCCACTTGTCACTTGGGAGGGGAGGTGACAAACAGAAGCAAATCTCTCTGGTCGCTGGCCCAGAGCCTTTGGACCCCTTTCTTTTGTTGAAAGGCCTCTCTCCGTAGGCTGGGAACCACGACACATGACACCTGCAACGAGGACACCTACAGCACCTTGCTGCAGCGGTACCAGCGCTCCGAGGAGGAGCTGCGCAGGGTCGCCGAGGAGTGGCTGGAGTGCCAGAGGAGGATCGATGCCTACGTTGACGAGCAGGTCAGTGTGCACCACCGGGCGCATCGCCAGAGCCCGCCACGTGCAGGGTGCGTGGGCCGGGGAAGGGGGGTTCCCTCTGGGAAGGAATTCCCAGAGGGATTCGAGACCCCTGAGGTACCACGATGGCCCTCGCCCAGCTGCTCCTGCAGGGGCAGCAGCAGCGGGTCAGGTCAGCATGGACCTGGTCATGCCCATCGTCACTTCACAGGCTGCTGCCCAGGCTCTGTCACCTGCAGGAGCCTCTGGGGTGTTGGGCGCTGCTGAGTCTTGTCATTACAGGAACCATTCACTGAACACTCTGCCATTCAGAGCCTGGGGACGCACAGACTAGTGTGACCTTCAGAGCCCGTTCTCTGTCTGCCCATAACTGGCTAGAAAGGCCGTGCAGATGTGAACACAGATGGTCGTGTTGGGCAGGTGGCTTACAGGGATGGTGGAGGACAGAGAAGCAGGGTTCTCGTTGCAGGGGGAGCCTGAAGGGTAGGGGTGGCTGGTCAGCCAGAGCCCCCCAGGTGACATGGTGCAGGGCTTTCAGACGGCATCTGCCTGCCCGCCTCTGTTAAATTCATTTCCTAAACGTGCAGTAGTAATAGCTACTTGTAAAAGGAAGAGTTTTTTCCTAAAACCTGCAGGTATGTACAATGTAAAGGGAGACGTGGCACCAACACCGCATCTTCCCGTCCGAGAGTGTGCCGCAGGTCTCCGTACGCCAGCTTTTGTGTCCTGCATTATGGTGTCACAGTTTATACACTTCTTACTGAGTTCACACCTAAGTGTTCTATAGTTTGGGGCTGTGGTGAGTGGCGTCTCACATGGCGGAATCCATTTCCTAAACACTGGTTGCTGGTGTGTAAGGAAGCCGGGCTACACTGTGTCCAGTCATCTCACCAGGCTCCCTGTTAACTCTCTAGGAGTTTTTGAGCTGATCGCCTGGAAATTTCTGGGAGACCACGATGTCTTCTACAGATACTGGTAGTTTTGTCCCGTCTCCAGCATTTGAACTCTGTTGTTCGGGCTCAGCTCTCATCACAGGACATGAGCCGAGTGTGGCAGCAGCAGCCTTGTCAGTGCCTGGCTTCAAAGGGATTGGACACGTCACACTGCTGCTCGCCACAGATTTGGGTGCTTTTTAGCAAATTGAGAAGTTTCACTTTTTTTAGCTAGCTTATTAGAGTTGTTTGTTTTGTTTTAAAAAAAAGATATTAGATTGTATATTTTTCCTTCTTTTACGTATTTCTAAAAGAATTAACAGATTAGATTTCCTAATTTTGAGATACCTTGCGTTCCTGGGATTAAACCCATCTAGATTATGATATTTTAAATCCATTATTGGATTTATTTTTATTTAGGATTTTTATAGCTGTATTCTGAGATATAATAGAGTTTTTGTCCTTGAGGTCTTGTCTGTTTTACTGTTTTATATGAAAGTTGTGCTAGTCTCAGAGAATGAATTGAGAAACTTGCGATGTTTTTTCAAATTTCAAGAACAATTTAAATTTTCTGATCCATAGAGAATGTGATAGAACGTACCATAAAACTTTGGGGCCTGATTCATTTTTGCAGGGAGGAGGAACAAGGACTATTAATCTTTTACTACCCTTTCAGTTTACATTGTATTTCTTAATCCATTTTGGGTTCTTTGCTTCGTGAGTGACCTTACAAACACCTTACAAATTGGTGTTTGCCTAGAAAATTATCCACATCATTTAGATGAAGGGTTATGAGCTTGTGCTTACAAGGGTGAAAATGGGTGACGTGGCGGCCATAGGTCACATTTGAGAGAGAGAGCGCTTTCTTTACCAAAAGGAAACGCTGGGGTGCAAAGTGCAGTGCCTGCAGGGCTGCTGAGATGTGGAGAGAAGCCGGAAGCTTGTGTTGCCAGGTGAAATCCCAAAAGCTTTTTCAGGGTGACTCAACTTCTTAAAACATTGCGCAGGCCCAACAAAATAGCCGTGGAGTCACTGATGGCAGCTCTTCTTAGATACGCAAAGTGTACATTGCACAGGTGTCTTCTCTGGTGCTCGGTCCTCTCGCATTCCCACCATTTCTGGGGTGCCCACTCTTCCCTTGATCAACCTGCAGGGAGAACCAGCTTTTGGGTTTATTGATCACATTTGCATCTTTCTTTTCCCAAGAGTTTCTGCTTTTACCTTTAATTTCTTCCTACCTGGTTTCTTGTTTTGTTAGTGTTTTTGGCTTCTTAACATTGAACGCATTCTCCTCAGTCTTTTTTTGTCCTGTTTTATTCACATGCATTTACACCTATACTTCTGCATGTAGGGCACATCACATAAAATTTGATTTGTGGGGCTTTTATTGTCAATTATTTCTAAGCAGACTAATTTCAACTTTAATTTCTTCTCTAGTGGTTTAAATTATTTAAAATTCTTTTCAAATGCATGAATTTTATTTTATAAAATTACTCTTGTTTGGTTTTGAGAGGTTTATTGGTAGTATTTTCTTGCCTGTAGGATTAGCTGTATTGCCCTCCCATGTTTTCTTCTAATATTTTAAAAGATAGATACCCCATTTCTAACCTTTAAGAAGTTACTGTTAAGTTTTTAATAATAAGAGTACATTTATATAAACATCAAAGTGTAATGAGTTTATAGCTGCCGCCTCCTAAGTAAGGCAGTACTTTGAGCCCTTTCTTATTTTCCATCCCCTCAGTTTTTTTGTTTGTTTTTTAATTTTGGTAAAATACTCCTGATATAAAATTTACCATTTCTAAGTACAGTATACTTAGAAAAAAGTGTCCATGGCTCAGTGGCATCAAGTGCATTCACACTTGTGAACATCCCCACCATCATCTCTGGGACTCTTCCATCTTCCCAAACTGACACTGTCCCCATTAAACAACCCCTCAGCCTCTGTCCCTGTGGATTTGGCTCTGGTGGGGGCCTCATGTAAATACAGGCTTCACCCCTTTGTGCCTGGTGTGTGGCACTCAGCATAATGCCCTCAGGGTCTGTCCCCTCACCTGTTGGGCTGCTTGTGCATCTTCCCTTGACCTGAGCCCCTCACATGCAGCGTCCGTCGTCATCTTTTTTTAACTCCAGCACGTGCAGGTGGTCACTTCCTGTATTGACAGATTCAGCTCTAATGTCTTAGTTTCGCTCTCTGATGTGAACTCACTGAGTAAGTTAGCAGGACGCTGGCATAGAAATGTCAGCTGGGGCCTCAGTAGTGGTACCTCTCATGTCCAGAGGCGATGCTTGTCTGTGCCATTTCTGAATCTTCCCTAGAAAGTGTCCTGCGTAGTTCCTGCTGGTTACTAAGTCTTTTGTGTTCTTACATTCCCTCATTAGATGACAATGAAAACCAAACAGCGCATGCTAACGGAAGACTGGGAGCTTTTTAAACAGAGGCGATTCCTGGAAGAGCAGGTGAGGTTTGGGTAGGAGGGCGGTTCAAGGAAATGGAAATTGTTCACTGTGGAGCAAGTGGCTAAACTGCCAGCATTTCAGGACTGTGCTGCAGGCCTGCTCTGCCTTGGCCTGGCCTCCCCGCTGGCCTCACCTCTGACAGCGTTACCCATGCTGCCTCCTGGGCCTCGCTCAGGCCTGGTGCCCCCGAGCGGCTCCTCTGCCCCGTGGCCCCCTGAGCGGCTGTGCAGGCACACCTCCCACACCAGGCCCCCTAGCCTTTAGTTTCTTTCCTCGCTTCTCTTCCAGGAGCTCAGCCCAGCTCCTCGGGGCAGTGATTCCTCTCAGTGCCGGTGCCCAGCATGTGCCGAGCACATGGCACACTCGGGGTGAGGGCTGGGCGTCTGCTGCATTTGCTGGTGAGGAAGCGGCCGGGGTTACTGGCCCCGGGTGGCACGCAGTCCAGACCCGCTGCCTCCTTTTCTGGCTCTGGGCCACTGTAGGAAGCTATGACCACTGGTCCCTAAATGAGCATAACACCCATTACCATAATTACTGGAAAATATGAACCATGTAATAGGAGATATGTCTTACAGAATTAACCTATTGTTTTATAATTTCTCTAGTTCACGAATAAGAAAGCGGTCACTGGTGAGAACAACTTCACAGATGCCATGAGGCACATGCTCTCCTCACGGCTGAGCATGCCCGACTGTCCCAACTGCAGCTACCGGCGGAGGTGAGCCATTGCCGAGGTGTGGCGGGCGTGCAGGGAGTGCGGCCCGAGCTGCGCTGGGCCAGCCGTCTCAGTAACTGCCTTAATTCCCACCCAGGTGTGCGTGTGATGACTGCAGCCTCTCACACATCCTCACATGTGGTATCGTGGACCCCCCTGTCACTGGTGACACCCACATTCATCAGCTGCCACTACAAGTGGGTTCTGCTGCTGACTGTCTCCCCGAGATGCGCCCACCAAGTGTGTCATCGGCAAGCTCAGGGTCAGGTTCCAGCTCCCCCATTACAATCCAGCAGCACCCCAGACTCATCCTCACGGATAATGGCTCTGCACCAACTTTGTAAGTTGTGACTTTGTGATCAGGTTTCAGGGATTGAAGTAATCGGTACTGAGAGAGAGAGAGAGAGAGAGAGAGAGAGAGAGAGAGAGAGAGAGACGATGACATCTGCAGAAGTATGGGTGTCATTGCAGTGCTTTCCAAGGAAAAGGATCCTTCGTTTTTTGAAGCAACCTTCAAAACACGAAACCAGTAAACCCAAACTTTGACACTATTTTGTTGCCTGAAAGAAAAGATAAAACAGTAGATGCCTGTCATGAGCCAGCTTGCCAGTGTGGCCATCGTATGGGAAGCTTTGCACCCCCTTTTATCTGCGGGGGGCGTCCTGCCTTCACTCCGTGTTTGCCGAGAACGCGCGCACTCGCGTTAGCCAGCTACTTACAGGGTCTGTCCCGTGCGCCTGCATTGTCTAGAAGTATGTTTTGTGTGGGTGAGGTGGCTGTGCAGCCATCGCCGGTCGCCACTGTAGGCACATGGTCCCACAGTTCTTCGGAGTTGTGACCTCGTCTTTGCAGCAGCATCCTGCTCTAACTCCTGCACCTGGACATGTGTTTTTACTTGATTTGTGGAAACGTATACCTGTACCCCCGAGCCCTGGCTATAACTGACCTGGCGGGGCCCCAAGGGGAGAGACTGAGTGTTCCTCAGGTTTCTCACAGTCATTCTGACTGAGGCTTTCTTTCCTCTGGGGTCTTTAATTCTCAGTATGGATCTGGTCCCAAACCCGAAGTAATGCTCAAGGGAGTGGCCTAAACTCCCAGATTCCTTTCATTGCATACAGAGTGCTTCATGGCCTTAGAACCCCATGCTCTGCGCTGAGAGCCCCACAGCCAGCGGGCAGCCAGCTCCTCACCGACTTGGACCTGCATCGGCTAATCAAAGCTGACTTGGGAAGGTCCGCCTGGCTCGTGTCACAGCTGCTGACGCCAGTCATGGCTCCAGCGCCGTGTCGAGTGGAGGAAGTGGGCTGCAGGAGCCTTGCCCCGTCCTGGACTGCCCAGACTGCTCTGGGCATCTGGGCCTCTGCTCTTGCGTCTTGTGTCTTCCATTCATGAAGTGCCAGGGCTTGAAAACTTCTGGTGTCACCTTGGTGTGTGTGTTCCTTTCTTGGTGCCGTTCCTAGTTGGTTAAGTAGAATCGTTTACTTTCAGTGACTCCCACAGGGCTCTGAATTCATGGCTTCTGGGCTGACCAAGCCTGCCTTCATCCCACTGAGCAAATGGTTCATTTCTGAGCCTCAATTTCCCCTCCTGTCTGAATTGTGGGGACGGTGACACCTCAGGAATGGTGTCAGTGTTGACCGAGGCGCCATGGGCCCTCAGCAGCCCTGAGCAGCCCTCACCTGGCAGGTGCTGTTGGTGCCTCCTTGGTGCCCCAGGTTATAAAGCGTTGTTGTGTGTTGACTCTTGTTTCCTAAAAACGGGAGAGACACCCGAATTTGGCCGTCTGGACAGTCCCCGCCAAAGCGGGAAGATTCCCAGCTCTTAGGGTTTTCCTTCTGCGGGCCTTGTGTGCCGAGGCTGTGGGCGAACGGAAGGCAAGCGTGGTAGACTGTGGGCGTCCTTTACGGCCATACCTGGAGCCATTTGCACGGACAGTAACTGTGCTAGCTCTTTACATGCACCAGAAAATCATACGTTTAAACTGGCCCCCAGGCCACAGCCTTGAAACCTGCTTACGTTTTTAGTAAACATTTCATTTGCCCGTTGCTCAGATGTCTTGCTAAAGCTGATACTTAATTAAGATCACAACTGACTTGACCGGAGCTGGCCTGGAAGCAAAAAGCTTTCAGCATTTTGTCACATAAGTAAGTGCCTTTAAAGTTTTGTTCAGCTGTCTATGCCTGAAATTTTGGTGGTTAAAAAACAAACTCTGGAGAGCTAAGGTTGTCCTCTGTACACCTTTAATTTTAGTTGAAAATGAAGTGTGTCTTCATTTCAAGTCGAATGGAAATGTACTATCAGTTAAATTTTTGTGGTTTCCTTAATATTTCTGCTTTTGCAGTGTGTTTTCCACTCCAAATAGCACAATGGTAGTGTCCCTGGCCCCTGCTCGTGTGTTCAGGTTACTGGTGACATTAGGATGTGCCTGGGTACTCAGTGCAGCACTCGTAGAGCAGAACAGCATCTGTGCCCAGTGGGGGACCCTCTGGCCTCAGGCTGACCGTCTCTCTCGTCTCAGTTGTAGCGATGATGAAGACGTTGCTCCCTTGTCCGCTAAATTTGCTGACATTTACCCATTGAGTAACTATGACGACACCGAGGTGGTGGCCAGCATGAACGGAATCCACAGCGAATTACATGGTGGCGGGGAGAACCTGGCCCTGAAAGATGAGGTATGCTCATAGCTTCTTCACGGTCATGCCAGTGGCTTGGAGTGGGGGTCTGGCATTCCAGTTTTCATGGTCTTCTGTTTTGGAAAATGTACCTTACTGAAGGTTGTTTTAAAGTCCCCTCAGGTGAGCAGTACCACTAGCAGTTCTTCAGAAGCTGACGACGAAGATGCAGATGGCGAGAGTAGTGGGGAGCCCCCTGGGGCCCCAAAGGAAGACGCAGCTCTAGGAAGTGGGAGCCCCAGGAAGGAGGAAAGTAAAGTGGGCAGTCCACCCCCATCTTACCCAACTCAGCAGGTATGATTTATTTCTTCCAACTTCCTGTTTTGCCGAGGGTCTCTTTCTCTGTGTATACTTCCTCTAAACATGAGCATTATGAAATACAAAATTATGTCATTTTGAATAACTTCTGAAGATTAGAACAGGAGAGAATCAAGGCCTACTTACAAAAGCAACAAACATGACCCATAACCCCCATTTTGACCTTGTGTCTCTTGCTGGAATCTGTAATTAACAGTCTAGACTTCACAACACCCCAAGTAGCTCCAGACACTTACATGTTGGAGAGTTTTTTGTCTGCATAGAAGCAAAGAGGGGATAAAATAAAATAGTGGAACGTTAAAACTCCAGAAAAGGTTGGTTTGATTGGGGAATTTTTTTCCCGTGGTAGATACGTGTTTTTCTGTTAACCAAAGGTGTTAACTTTATCAGACTATTATTTTTTCATAGACACTCAGTTTTATAATAGATGCTCAAGCAATATATAAGTGAAAGGAAGAACAAATGGAGGTCAAAGTGCTTTGGCTAATTAATCATATGAATGTGTGGTGTAAATGTGTGGCTCAAACAATAAAGGTGGTAGGAAAAGGTATTGCATTGAGAAGTCTGTCTTCACCCCCTTCCCCATTTACCGTGTCTGGCACCTATCCACCCCAGTCCCTAGTCCCAGTAGGTATCCAGTTTTCCTTGTTTATTGTGTTTTTCCAGTGTTTATTCATGCAAATACAATATTCTTCTCCCTTCTTACAAAATGCCCACACTTGCGCTCCTTGCTCAGCAGTGATCCTGGACAGCTTTCTCTGTCTGTGCAGAATGCGTGTCCTCATTCTCTTCCGCTGGCCCGTCTGTGTCCGCAGTGTGGACACATCGTAGTTTCATGTTTTCCTTCAGTCCCCTGCTGATAGGCACTGGGTCTGTTCCCTTTCTTCCTCTCATAAACTATTCATGAGCAGCCCTGTACATCTGACATTTTATACATAAGCAGGTACATCCCTAGGATTCGTTGCCAGTGGTGCTTTACTGGGCCAGAGGTGGTGGCCTCCCCTGTCTGCCAGAAGGGGCTGATGTCACAGTTTTGCATTTTTAGAAGCCTGATAGATAAAAAATGGTAACCCCTTGAGGTTTCCATTTTAATTTCACTTTTTTTTTTTAAATTTTTTTTTTTAGCTGAGCAATCCTGCCACCTGTTGGCAGCTCAGCGGCAGCTCAGCTCGGCCTGGGAATCGAACCGGTGACCCTGTTGCTCAGAGCTCACACTCTTGAGGAACTCTTAACTAACTGAGCCACTCAGCCAGCCCACATTTCACTTTTTATAGGTAAAGTTGAGCACCCTTTCATATACCAGGGGTGCCAAAAAATTGTATACAAGTGGACACTTTAATCAGCGTTGCTCAAGCAGTAGTTTGCTGTAATCAGAAGTGTCTGGATGCTGATGGTAACTACTTTGATCACCTCTTGTAATTGCAGAAGTCAAACGTGACTTGTATTCATCTTTTTTTGTTGTTATCATTATATGTTGAGTATCACAATTTTAATAGTTTTTAACTTTCTTAAAATATGTATACATTTTTTTGGTACCCTCTGTATATAAGGACCATTCGTTTTCTATGTTACTATTGAGTTATGAGAGTTCTTTATATAATGGTACAAGTCCTTTATCAAGTACATGACTTGCAAATATTTTCTCTTGGTCTGTGGCATGTGTGTTAGTTTTTTTATGGTGTTTTTTGAAAACCAGAAGTTTCATTTTGATTGATTCTAGCTTATCAGTTTTTTCTTTTCTGAATCATGCTTTTGATGTCACACCCAAGAAAACTTTGCCTAATACAAAACTGTTTTCATCTAGAAGATTATAATTTTAGCCCTTACTTGAGTTTGTGGTTCATTTAAGTCAGGTTTTGCGTATGATGTGAGGTTAGTGGTTGACATTCGGATCTGCCAGTTTGGATTCATGCATTTTGGAACAATGTTGTTGAATGTGTGTAAATGTGTTATTGATATACTGACCCTTTCGTCATTGTGAACTGTTTCTCTGCTGATATTTCCTATCTTAAAGACTACTTTATCTAATATTCATATAGCCGCTCCAGCTGTCTTAGGGTTACTGTATGCGTGTTGTTTATTTTTGTCCTTTCAATGTCAGTTTCTGTGTCTTTGAATCTAGAATTCGTCTTCGAATCTTTCAGTTGGGTCTTGCATTTTTATCCTGCCTATCAGTCTGCCTTTTGTTTGAAATGCTTCGTTTACATTTAATGTAATGATTGGTGATATTTATTTTACATCTGCCTTTTGCTGTTTATTTCTATACGTCTCATATTTTTGTTCCTCTGTTCTTCCTTTACTTCCTTTTTTTGCATTATACAAAATTTTTAGTGTACCATGTTAATTCTATTGATTCTTTTGTTTTGTTTTGTTTTTTTAGCTGAGCCATCCTGCCACCTGTTGGCAGCTCAGCAGCAACTCAGCTCGGGCCCGACTCGAACCGCTGTTGCTCAGAGCTCAAACCTTTGAGCGAGCTCTTAACCAACTGAGCCACTCGGCCGGCCCTCTGTTGATTCTTTAATTATGTGTTTTTCTTAGTTTAGTTTTTTAAGGTGCTTGAGGAGTTGGGAATGGAAAGAGCCCAGGCAAGAAGGCCAAACTCCTGCTGTCCTTAAGTTCTAGCGGATTTGCATGAATAAAAGCTTCCAGTTTGGCTTTTTTCTTTTGGTTAATTTCCAGTGCCTCGAAGCAGTTGCCTTTGACAGCCATGTTCAGTTTCACACTTATTTTGAGGGAGAGGCATCTTGAATGCTTCATTCCACCTTGGCCAGAAGCCCCATCTCTAGTCATTTTGCAGACTCTGAATCGCCGTTCCCCAAGCAGTGCGTGGCCAGCAGGGCACGGCACCACAGCGGCCTGCTGTTCATGGCCCCAGCTCCCTCTCTCCACTCGGCCCTCTCTGCCGGTCCTCTTTTCCCTGCTCCGACAGGTATAGGGTGTGGACCACGGTGGCTGCTGCCTCAGCAGATGCCCACGTGGGGACGAGGTACACGTCTCCTCTCTTAGGTCCCTTCGGTCCTATTCTCTTGGGGTCTCTCTCACAAGGAGGGCCCTAGCCAGGTTGAGGTGTTGGGGCGAGCCCTGTTACCTGTGTATTGCTGTGTAACTGCTCGACTTTAGTTCAGCTCATACCAGTCTTTCTTTCACTAAGTAAGCGGGTCCTTTCTTTTTCTTTTAGGCTGAACAATCTGCAGACACTTGTGAATGTCATGTTTGTAAGCAAGAAGCTTCTGGACTGCCAGTGTCAGCAATGACAGCTGGAGCCCTTCCTCCTGGCCATCAGTTCATGAGCCCAGAGAAGCCCACACACCCCGCTTTGCACCTGTACCCCCACATCCACGGACATGTGCCTTTGCACGCTGTGCCACACCTGCCTCGCCCACTCATCCACCCCACCTTGTACACGGCGTCCCCCTTCACACACAGTAAGGTAAGTCGGGGAAGAATAGGGCCTGACAGACAGAACTGCATAGGTGGGCGGTCCTCTTGCCATAGGAAGGTCTGCAGGTGTCGCCTCTGACCATAATCTCTTAAGTTCTTAGAATTTTGAATCTTTGCATTTATAAAAAGTTATGAAAGTCCTGGTTTATTTCTTTAGAATGAACTAGAATGGAAAGAGGCTTTCAGATGGTGCAGGTGTAATGGGTTATACTCGGGGCTGCTTCCAGCCATGGGTTCTGGGGCTTGGCTCCTAATGTGCTGGGTAGCTCAAGTCCTCTAACCCTAGCCGGGCTTGACAGGGTCTGAAATTGTGATGCTCTGAGCACGAAAACTAAGGCCCTGTAGAAACACAGGCTGGAAGGAGAACTCTTAGGTGCGATCCTATAGAAAACCCTAATGCCATGCAGGTGTGGGAGGTAGCTAGCTGGAGGGCAGACGGGCAGGACCTACCAGCAACCATTGGTGCCAAAGCCTGTTGGGAAAGGATGGGGATCCAGAGGAAGTCTGATTTCTGTGTTTCTTCTCTGAGAACCCCATGTTTCCACTTAGCGCCTAGACTTGACTCTACTGGGAGGTTTTAGGTTGGGTCCATCTTTTGTACCTTAGACAGCTTTGCCTTGCCTCTCAAGCTATTTCGAAGTTACCTTAATTAACACTTTTCATAAATTCTGATTTTTTTATCAGTTATTCTGGTTCAAGATTAGCTCTGATCAATCAAAAATAGAATTTTCCCCAAACTCTACTTACTAATTTAAAACAGTGATTCTTAACTGGGAGACACAGGAAGGTAGACGTGGCATGGAAGGGGCTTTTTCAGACTGCATGCACATTTTGTTCCCTGAAGGATGCCCTGTGAGGTGGCAGAGGTATAGTCCATGCGTGGGGTGTGCTGCGTATGTGCTGGGGAAGGGCACAGGTGGGAGGTTACCACCCGCTGCTTTAGAATCAGATAGAGTCATTTTGTCATGTTCTGGGATAGGAAGTACTTGGTAACTACCCAAATTTATGCTTAAGCTTTATTAGACTGAGAGTTGCTCAATTTAAACATTTAATGATGTCTTCATTAATAAAATGATTTTAAATAGCATTTTCAGATCCTTGAATAACGCCGTTGCATTCAACATCATTTCATTACAACATCGATGAGATGCCGTAGAAACCTAACTTGTTTATGCCAATTAGCCTGTGGTCACACTGGTTTCATTACGCGTCTTTTTGCTTATAGTCACAGAACTTCTTGACGATGTAGGGGAGGACTTACTACTGTATTCAAAGCCAGGCAGCTTCCATGGTCTGCCCAGCCTGTGGCCCCCTTCCCTCAGGGTGACTGCGTGAGCTTGGGAAGCTGTCCCCTCCCTGTTCTTACCTAAATGGAGGTCTGTTTTTCAGTCCCTGGGAACCACCCTGAGAAAAGAGTGTAGAATGTTCTGTATACTTTCCTACTGATAGAAGCTATTCAAGAACTAGTTCCTAAAAGTAAGTAAAGTTGTGAAGCTGGTGTTTCCTGAAGGCTGTTGGGTCACTCCATTTAAAAACTGACCCCTCCCCTCCCCGGCTTTTGGCCTTTTCTCTGGATGTTATAGGGCGTCTATAGAAAAAGATAGGAGAAAACAATGTTTCGGGGGAGCATTATCAGTATCTCAAATCTATTTATTCATCCAGCAGGTAGATGTGAAAGATTCATGGGCAGAAAGGCAAATACAGAGCACAGGCTATTACGCTTTATTTCAGCCTCTTTGCTGTTAATGTCAGGACTGTTTACTGATGCGTTTAAAATACATGAGCTGAATGCCATTTGTATTTGGAAAAATGAGATGCATTTGGCAAAAGACTTCATTCGTACCTGGTATAAAAATGTGTGTTTCTCTTAACAAGTTTGCATTGGCACTCAGATCTTGCAAAATGAGTTTGTGTTATTGGAGTTAATTTGGCTCAGCTGAATACTGTGGCTACCTCTGTGACTAGGTGCATGAAGTGTTCACAGCCCCACAACAGTTGGTGGAAGCACCTTCGAACAAGCTGAGAGTGGCACAGACTGGTCCTGGGTTACAGCAGAGCAGGTTTCCTCGAGAGGCCAGGGTCGTGCAGTGCACTGTTCCCAGTGTGGATGGGAGGGGAGTGGGCTGAACGTGGGCGGCAGCCGGAGCACTGAGGCCTTCTGACCTCCCCAGTTGCTGCCCGGCAGGGCCTGTGGGAGTGTCTGCTCTGCTGACGTGGTCTTTGTCTCCTTGAAGGCTTCATGGGATTCACTTGCACGTCTTCTTTTAATTCATGCTTTGGCCTCTGTGGTGAACATTTAGTACCTGAAATACTTGAGATGAGTACAATGAAAAATTTGTTTTCTTGAAATTAGAAAAACTTGAAGATTATTTTTATTTTTAGGTGCCTTTATACCAATGATACATTTAATTTATTTGGTGAGACATAAGTCATTTGATAATTAAAAGTAGTTGCAGGAGGGTCCAGCCGAGTGGCTCAGTTGGTTAAGAGCTTGCTCAAGAGTGTGAGCTCTGAGCAACAGGGTCGCCGGTTCGATTCCCACATGGGCCTATGAGCTGCGCCCGAGCTGAGCTGCCAACAGGTGGCAGGATGGCTCAGCTGGTGAGAGCACGTGCTCCTAAGAAGGTTGCCTGTTCGAGATGGTGGGCTACGCCCTCCCGCAACTAAAGACTGAACTTAGCACCTTGAGCTGAGCTGCCGCCTGGGTGGCTCAGGGGATAGAGCGTGCGCTCTGAACAACGAGGCTGCTGATTCGACTCCCACATGGGATGGTGGCTACGCCCACCTGCAACTAACTGAACACAGCACCTTGAGCTGAGCGGTGCGACTGGACTTGTGGAGCTGAGCTTGCTGCGCCCTCCCCAATTCCCCAATTAAAAAAAAAAAAAGTAGTTGCAGGAGGCAAGTACAGTGATGAAATACTAGAGAAGAAACCAAAACCATGACGGAATTTCCAGATACTGGGGATTTCCCTGCTATCTTTCTGTTAGTTGATTCCTACTTTAATTTCACTAGGCCTGAGAGCAGACTCTGTATGGCTTCTGTTCTTTGGAATTTGTTAGTGTGCTTTATGCCTAGAGTGTGGTCTGTTGTGAATGTTCCACGTGAGCTTGAGGAGAATGTGTGTTCTGCTGTTGCTGGACGAAGTGATGTGTGATGTCCACTCTATCCAGTTGTTGATGGTTGAGTTCAACCACGTCCTTACTGACTCTCCGTCTGCTGGACCTGTCCACTCTGACAAAGGAGCCCTGAGTCTCCAGCCTAACAGTGGGCTCTTCTACGTCTCCTCGCAGCTCCATCAGTTTCCCTCCTGTAGTTTGATGCTTACATGTTTAGCAGTGTTCCATGTTATCATCACGTAATGCCCGTCTTTATCCTTGATAACTTTCCTTGCTCTGAAGTCTGATGTGTCTGAAGTTAATGTAGCTACTCCGGCTTTGGATTAGTGTTGGTATGGTATGGTATATCTCCATCCCTTTACTTTTTTTTTTTTTAAGATTTTTATTGGGGAATTGGGGGGATGGGAACAGTGCTGGGGAATGGGGGAAGGGGAACAGACAAGTTGCTGTCATTTTGTTCTTCAGTTTAGTTGTGGAGGACGTTGCTTCGCTGGCCCAAGTTGGCACCATCATTGCGCTCTTCCCAGGCAAGGCAGATCAGTCACCGGCTTCTGGACGGCCGCTCACTGCGGCTGCTGGCCGCTCACGCTGGCTGCTGGCTACACACGGTAGCCCATGGCAACCCACTGCCACAGGGGCTGCAGCCTACGCCGTCGCTGGCGACTCACGGCAGCCCAGCTCCAGGTTGAGCTGTTGTTCAGCATCTTAGCTGTGGAGGGCGGTGTCACTGGCCCTCATATGTGGGATCCGAACCGGGGCCCTCTGGCATCCCAAGCCAGTTCTTAACCATCGCGCCACTCGGCCGGCCCTCCATCCCTTTACTTTTAACTTATAGGAGTCTTTGTACTCACAGTAGGTTTCTCATAGACAGGCACATGTGTGTGTGCACGCGCGCGCGCGCGCACACACACACACGGGTCTTGTTTTTTATGTACTCTGATAATCACTGTGGTTTCATTGGTATATTTAGACCATTCACATTTAAAGTGGGTTTTTTTTTTTTATGTGTTTGCACTAATAGCAATTATGTTTGTAACTTTTCTGTTTGTTACCAGAGGCTTCTTTTTCTGCCTTTTCCACTTTTAATTGAGCATTTTCTGATTCCATTTAATCTCTTAGCATATCAGTTATACTTGTTTTATAATTTTAACAGTTGTACTAGAATATATATAGGGGTTTTTTTGTTTTGTTTTTTTAGTGTTTCGAATATATATAGTATTTTAACTAACTTAAATAGGTCCCCTTCAGATAACGCTATTCTGTTTTCATGTGTAGTGTGGAGTTACCTTTAAGAGATTATTTCCAGTCCCTCTCTCCCTCCCATCTCTTGTGGCATGCTGTCATTATTCTCATTATCCATGTATCAATCACCCAGTACACTGTTACTATTATTACTTTAAACAGAGTTCTCTCTTAGGTCAATTAATAAGAAAAATAAGAGATTTTATTTATTCTTCCTCCATTGTTCTCCCTTTCTTTATGTAGATCCAAGTTTCTGACCTATATTATTTTATTTCTGCCTGAAGAAAATCTTTTAACATTTCTTGCAGGGCAGGTCTACTGGCGATGAGTTCCCTCAGTTTTTGTTTGTCTGAGGAAGTCTTTATTTCTCCTTTACTTTTGAAGGATAATTTCGCTGGATACAGAATTCTAGGTTGGTGGTTTTTTTTTTCTTTCAACACTTTAAACATATTTGACTCCATTCTTTTCATGCTTGATGGTTTCTGATGAGGTGTCCTCTGTAACTCTTTTCCTTGTTTTATAGGTACAGGAATTCCTTCCTGCCCCCCGCCCCCAGGCTGCTTTCAAGATTTTCTTTGTCTTTGGTTTTTTGCAGTTTGACTATAATATGCCTAGGTGTAGATTTGGG